TGGTGACTTGTAGAGGAACTGTGTTAAGGATTCTGGGGCTGTGTCTGGGCCCATCCAGGCGTGTTATGTTACTGTTGTCCGCTGGAGCACTGTGGAGGCCCGCGGGCCATGTGTTGGTCAAATACAAACCCCTTTCCCTGGCTCGCTCTTCCTTCCTTCCTTCCTTCCTTCCTTCCTTCCTTCCTTCCTTCCTTCCTCCCTCCCTCCCTCCCTCCCTCCCTCCCTCCCTCCCTCCCTCCCTTCCTTCCTTCCTTCAAGATTTTACTTATTTCACAGAGAGAGACACAGCAAGAGAGGGAACACAGGCAGGGGGAGTGGGAGAGGGAGAAGCAGGCTTCCCGAGGAGCAGGGAGCCCGATGTGGGGCTCGACCCCAGGACCCTGGGACCATGACCTGAGCCGAAGGCAGCCGCTTAACGACTGAGCCACCCAGGCGCTCCCCTGGCTTTTTCTTTCTTAGTATGAACTACTTTCCTGACTTGCTCAAGCCCCTGTTCAAATCCTGTCTCCTCCAGCGAGCCTTTCCTCCAGCCTTTCCTCGTGAGCCCCCTGGGACTTTGCTACTTCTCATTGTCTGTGTGTCTGCCCTTTTCCCGTACGGGGCAGGCTTTCTGCCTTATTTTGTCCCTAGTACCTGCCACTGTGCTGGACACTTAGGAAGTGCTCACAGAAAGACATTATTTCTATCAGACTTTTGGGGGAGGTAAATGATAAACTTCTGCAAATTAGCTTAAGATTGTAAGACACTTGAGAAATGCAGAGATTCCAAGGACAGCTGAATGTCAAGGATGTACGAGAACCAAGCCCTTGTCGGCTTCTTCAGGAGCCCAGAGTTCTCTAGAATCCCACTCTGACCGGGATTCAGCTGCCCAGCATGGCCCCTGGGCCTTACAGTTCAGATTCCTCGGAGAGCATCTGATTGGCATAGCCTGGGTCAGCTGTCCACTCTGGTCCCACTGCTCTGGCCAGGAGGGCAGGCTCAAGGAGAACCACTCAGCGCGAGTAGTCAGTGGTCAGTAGTTGGAGGCCGTCACCCTAGTAGAGGAGAGACACCCAGATGATATTCTTTTGTGCCTTCTTTTTCTCCCCCAATCCCCACGTTCCTAAAAGGGGATTTTTCTTTTCTTTTTTTGATTATTTATTTGAGAGAGAGAGAGAGAGAGCACAAGAGGGGGAGAGGGAGAAGTAGGCTCCCCGCTGAGCAGGGAGCCTGATGCAGGGCTCGATCCCAGCACCCTGGGATCATGACCTGAGCTGAAGGCAGACATTTAACTGACTGAGCCACCCAGGGGCCCCTTTTAAGGGGATTTTTCAACAAATTTATCTGGAGCACCAAAACCTTAAGAAAAAAAGCTGTTCTGTAGGATATTAAATATGCATCAACTCTTGAGGAGGGAGAAAAGCTCTGTTCTCTGTAGATTTGTGTGGCCGCTGGCAGCTGAAACACTGTAAGAGAACAATGGACAAGTGACATTGTTGAGGAGTTGACGTGCCTGGTGTGGCCCCCGCCACGGCAACCTTGTTTAGTGTTTACCACGAGCAGCAGGGTGAGACATGCGTGCCCCTTTCTGGACAGCCCAGCTCTGGTGTGGCCACATGGAGGTGGCCTTTTTTTTTAAGATTTTATTTATTTATTTGACAGAGAGAGACACAGCAAGAGAGGGAACACAAGCAGGGGGAGTGGGAGAGGGAGAAGCGGGCTCCCTGCTCACTGGCTGGGCAAACTGAGGCATATCCTTTCCTCCATGGGAGAGGATAATACACGAGCATCTCCCACTTCCTGAGAGGGGAGCATGTTTCAGGCTCTGCACTTCGTGTGCACGGCTTTCGGTGAGCCTGTAGTTGGGCACTGTTAGAATTCCTATTTCACAGATGAAGAAACTGAGGCTCAGGAAGTATATTAGTTGTGTTCAAGCCTAGGTGTGGCCCAGGGACACCGACCCCCGCCTTCCCTCTGCTATGTACGAACCTTCCTAAGATCGCTTTCAGTTTCTGGAGCACATGCTGGTTTCCAGAAACTGTGCCGAGCACTTTGCATCCATTTATCTCGAGTCCTGGCTCCTCGTCACAACTTTCCCTTAAACGTCACCTCCGAGCCGTCTTCCGCGCCCTTCTCTCCTCCCCTCACCCCCTCTGGCTCACTTCGTTCCCTCAGAGCACTTAATGATGAGAAACCCATTCATCTGTTCCCTCGGACTCCGCTCCCTGTCCCAGAACACACGCGTCTCAAGGGCCGGGACTTTATTGGTCTGGTCCGCTGCTGTGGCCTCCACACTCTGTGTCCGTCTGGCACACAGTAGGCACGATAAATATCTGTTAAATACATGAATGAGTCCTGACCAACAACCCTGTGGAGTACCATGACCAGCTGCACTTTGCAGAGAAGGAAACCGAGACCCAGGCAGGAAACAGCTTGCATGGAGTCCCAGAGTCAGCGGGTGATGGAGCAAAGATTCGGACCCAAGCAGGAAGACTCCGGAACCTTCTGTGATGAGTCCTAGCGGCCCCTCCCAACTGCAAACGTGCACGTGTGGAAATGCGTGTTCCTTATCTCATAGAAGAGGGAAGGACTGTGCCTCTCCCGGGGGTGGGGGGGTGGGCAGTACCAACCCTCTGACTGAGTGGGCCGGACTGGGAAGGAAGGCCTTTTGCTTGTTTTCACTCTCCAGGAGAGCGCAGAGGTTTGCACCCCTGTCGAGGCCAGGCTGACTGGATTAGAGTTAACAGCTGGCCCGAGCCCGTGCCCGGCGGGAGGGAGCTCACATTCCCGGGACTCAGGGAGGGAGCAGCTCCCCACAGCCCCGGCCACATTCCAGGTCGGTCATTTTCTTGAGCCCAGATGTTTGCTAATGAGCTGGGGAGAGAGGCTTTCAGCCCTCTACCCCTGCTCTGGGCCCCACATTACTCGGCCCCAAGAGGCTGGCCTGGGGCCAGCAGGCTCTGGCTTCAGGCCCGTGCCCTGTGCCAGCCAGGCCTGTCGGGGCAACTGGCTCGCTGCTGCCAACCAGGTGCATCTCCGTGAGCTCGGGGACTCTGGTGTGACAGGTTCTGCCTTTCCTGCAGGGGCCCCGTCACCCTGGCTCCCAGTGGGGTAGCATCCTCACTGCAGCCTGATGGGGAGAGGCTCTGAGGCAGCCAAGAGGGTGTGGCGGGCGAAGGAGCACAGGTTTTGGGCTTGTCGGGTCTGGGTTCAAGTTCGACTCTCAGTCACTAGTGGTGTGATCTTGGATGGGTCACTTAACTTTTTGAGGTCTCGATTTTTCTCACCTCTAAAACAGGGATAATGTTGAGACTGTGGTAAGGATTCGATATGATAAAGTGGGCAGAGTGCTTGGCATGATACCGGGCACATACTGGTAGCTGCTGGTATTATTATTATTATTTTTTAAGATTTTATTTATTTATTTGAGAGAGAGAATGAGATAGAGCGAACATGAGAGGGGGGAGGGTCAGAGTGAGCAGCAGACTCCCTGCTGAGCAGGGAGCCCGATGCGGGACTCGATCCCTGGACTCCAGGATCATGACCTGAGCCGAAGGCAGTCGCTTAACCAACTGAACCACCCAGGCACCCCTGGTAGCTGCTGGTATTATTGACAAGTCACCTTCCAGACCCCCTACGCACATTGTAGTCCTTCTGTGATGACCAGTCTTCCCCAGGCAGGGGTGACTCAACACCAAGCCCCGTGTCCTTGATTAGGTGGTTGGGATTGTTCTAGAACCTCCCTGTGTTTGAGAGAGTCATGGCTGAACTGTCAAGGACTACTAGTCCCTGATCTCTGTGCGATCTGACAAGCTCATGAGGCTACACAATTAGCTTCCTGCGGTGTTGGAGTGGCTTCTTTCAAAATGCAGACATCCACTGCCCACCCTGCCTGGAGTCTGCATTGAGAACGGCGGTGGTAAGCACAACGGTAAATATTCCCTGAGTGCCTACTGAGCACCAGGCAGTGACACTAGGCTTTTCAGGACATGGTCATCTAACAGACAGTAGCTGGCCTCGTCTCCTGCTGTGTGACTTTAGGCCAGTTACTTAACCTCTCTCTAGGTTTTGCTTCTTTCACTTATAAAATGGGGATAACAATACTGTTAATCTTATAGAATTATTGTGCCAGGGGCAAGTGCCTAGAATGGGAGCAGGCACCCACTGAGGTGCTCAGTATGTGTGAGCTCTTATGATTGTTATTATACATACAAATACACACCGTAAGTAATATACATATTATGTATTGTAGGATTGTTATTCTTGTCACTCTCCTGGGAACACTTATCTATGGCGGTTAATAATTACTTCCATTCAGCCAAATATATCAGACACATCCTTAGGCACTGGGGACACTGAAATAGGCCATCACTGCCCTCAAGGAGCCCACGGTCTAAAGGGGGAAAGAGACACGCACAACCAGCATAGAGGGAAATCGGCACTGCCAGACGTACGATTCCATGCCCAGCGTCACACCTGAGGAGGGAGAGGTTTACGCTACCCGAGGGTCTTGGGAAGTCTTTCCAATCTGGTGCTTAAGGAATGCCTTTGCCAGGAGAGGAAAGGAGAAAGGAACCCCAGGCTGAGGGAACAGCATAAGCAGGAGCTGGGAGGCATGGGGATGCGTCTGGGTTTGGAGCAATTGGAGCGCACCTTGGAGTTACCGGCAGGCCACTAGGCGCCACCCAAGATGCTCAGCTACCTGTGACACCGATCGGTCCGGGGCAAAATACACAGACACCCCGAACTCTGATAGAAAGCAAAATCTGCAAGTCCCCCGATGGTGTCCTGGGCTACTACTTTCCAGGAGCAAAGCTGTTTCCCCATTCCCCTGAGAGCACGCAGAACGGAGGGCACAGCCGCCCCCCGCCGAAGTGCGGGCTGATTAGTCGGACGGCCGAGGCGACGCTGGGCGCCGGGCCTGCGCTCTGCCCTTCCCGGGAGCCAGAGAAGTGAGTCCGTTGGTCGGCGCCCCCGTTCTGTAGAGTCCTTCCGGGGCTCTCACACCCGTCTCCGGATGCCGAGACCGGTGCCTGAGCTGAGAGGAGGCTGGGCGGACGGCGAGGGACAGCGGGGTCCCAAGAGCCGGACCTGAGCCGGGCCGTGCCCGAGATCGGATAGGTTGCGCGCACCGCGGGACTGCGCAGCCGGGACGGTCGCCTGGCGCCGGGACTCGGTGGACTGGAGCGCCACAGCCTCGCAGCAAGACCGCAACGCCTCGGTCCCCAGAAAAGGGAAGACCTCCATCTTTGTCACCCCGAGGCCCGGCCAGTGTCAGGAAAAGTGAGGCGGAGGGAAGTTCGGAGCGCAGAGAAAGCCGGCGGAGGGCGCTTTAGGACGGGCCGGGGCGCCGGGCTCTCTGCCTGATGCCCGGGGCGCCGGCCGGGGCGGCCCCGCAGCTCCGCCGCGCCGTCGGATCGCCGCGAAGGCCGGCCCGAGGCTCGCAGGCGGGGAGAAGGGCCGGGCCGGGCGGCCGGGGCGCCCCCTCCCGCGAGCCCGGAGGGAGCGGCCGTGCGCGCCCGCCCGCTCTTTCTTTTTCGCGTCCCTCCCTCCGCTGCCCCCGCCCTCGCTCCCTATTTGGAGCGGAGACACCCCTGACGTCGGAGCCGCTCGGCTCGCCGCTCCCCCGCACCGCGCGCCCGCTCGGGGCCGCAGACGGCGCGCAGCGCAGCCCAGCCGAGCCTCGCGGGGCCGCCGCCAGCCCTGCCGGCCGCCTCCCGAGCCTCCCCGGGGGCGCCGGGCCTGCCGCCCCCGCGGCCCGCAGACAGCTCCGCAGGAACCGGCGGGCGCGCCGCGCTCCCGGCCGCCGCTGCCGCCGCGCGCGCGGTAAGTCCCGCCCGGGCCGGCCCGCGGGCGCCCGGCTTCCAGAGGCTTCGGCCGCAGGCGCAGCGCCGCGCCCCCGGCCCGTCCGGCGGCCCGGGGCCCGGGGCGGGGGCGCCTCCGGACGCCGGGGCTGGGACGTGGGTGCGGCAACGGGGTGGCTGGGGGGCGCCGCTGCGCCCCGAGCCCGTGCCCGGACTCGCCGGGGGTTTCCACTGCTCGGTGAGAGTTTCGGCGGCCGGGAGAGAAAGGGAGGGAGGTGCGTGGCGAGCGCACGCCGGGCGGGTCGAGGGCGGGTCGGGCCGCGCGGGCGCCGGGGCAGCGGCCGAAGCTCGGCCGTGGGGCTCGCGCGTCTCCCCGGCTCTGCCCGGGCCTCGCCGCGCCCGCGAGCCGCTCCGCTCCGGTACGTTTCTGCCTCCTTTTTGTCTCGCTCCCTGTCTTTCGGTCTCCCCATCCGACTGCCCGTGTCTCTCGTCTCTCTCTTTCCGTCCCCCTCTCTGTTCGGTCCCTTTCTTTCTGTTTCTTCTCCCCTTCTGCCTTCGTGTTCAGTCTCCCCGGGCTTGTGCCTCTGCCTTTATGTTCTCTCTGTCTCTCCGTCCTGCCCCTCTGGGGGAGTCCCTCAGGGTCTGTGCATCTCCCTGACCCCCCACCCTCAAATTCAGACAACCCCCCAGTGTCGGAGGCACGAGCCCCCCCAGTGGGGTTCATGAATAGTTTCCTAGACCCGGTAAAAGAAGCGAAACCGTTCCCCCCCCTTCCGCCTGCCCCCGGGGCCTGGCCTGGGTCATCCCCCTGGAATTGAGTCTGGGGCAGGGGGAGCCAGCCTTTCCGGGGGCTCAGTTTTCTTAAGAATTCCACCCCCGCGAGGCGGCCGGACAACGGGGCCCCGCTGCCGGCCACCTGCCCGCCCCACTCCCTGGGCGGGGCGGTTCTGATCTTTTACAAGCCGCTGTAAAGGGGGCAGCTGCCTGCCTTGGCGAGGCCAGGGGCTTGGCAGGCATCAGGGGAGAAGGGCACATTTTCAGGCTTTCTGAGGCCCTCGCCCAGCTGGAGGACACCAGCCTGTAACTACGGGAACCCCAGGAAAACAGAGGTCAGGGCTGGAGGCCAAAGGCTGGGCGCTGGCTGGGGAGGGCGGTGGGGAAGCAATTTGTCAACAAGGAGCCCCTCACCCTTTGTTACTGTGGAAACCACCAGCCTCCAGAAACTCCCCCAGATGCTGCGACTGCTTGGGTGTGGTTTGCCTTTAGTTGGGGCCAAAGAAAAGGCGAGACTGGAGCATTTCCTTGGTGACCCTGGCCCCCCCCCACCCGCCGCAAGCTGGACCTCTTTTCTCCTGGGCCTGCGCCTTGGAGGGGTGGATGGGGGGAGTAGGTGGTCTGCATTAGCCACGGGTATATCCTCATTCTTTTAAAGTGAGATTTCAGACTGAGTTTGGCTTTTTCTCCCCACCCCCAGCCCCAAGGGTCGGAGGCTGCGGAGTGGGCAGGGATGCTGGTGAGGTCTGCAGTGGGACTTCTGCTGAGCAGATGTGCGGCGGGCCCTGCAGCAGCTCATTAGCATAGATTTGTTTTGGAGACCGTTTTTGGTCTGTGGGCAGGAGGGTCTGCAGGTGGGAGAGCCGTGGCCTGGGTCTGGGGGCTGTAGCCCGGAAGCTGGAGCCGCCTGGCAGAGGCGGGCAGGCCTTTGGAGCATGGGCCTGGCCCTGTGTGTCAGCCCCCTGGACAGTTAGTTCATGCTCTGCCAGCGCAGGGAGGAAGGAAGCCACCCTGCGGTGAGACTGGGGTCATGGAATCACAGTGGCCTTAAGCAACACGCTGGAGCCAGACTGCCCTTGAGGGAATCTGCTTAAATGGACATTCCCAGGCCATGCTCCCTCTTCTAGAGCAGGCAAACGTGGGGCTCAGGAAGGCAAAGCGAATGTTCAGTGGCTCCGTCTGTAACTATTAGACTCTCCCGCACCCAGGCACACAGTGAGTCAATGGATGAGCTTGGGCCTGAACTTGTCCTTGGACCCCAGGGTGGGCCCGGGAGAGCCTGTTGAGCGGATCAGGGCTGGGGTCTGACGCCTCTTGGCCTGCATCCCAGAGCGACCTTTCTAGCTGCACCATTCAAGGAAGTCCCTGTGCTCATTCCAAGACCTGCAGGGACTGCCCCAGCCTGGCTGAGCCCAAGCCTAGGGCTGTGGCCACAGAGGCCACGCCCTCCGCACCCGCAGCGGGGACAGCCTGGCAGCCAGGCCCAGCCTGTTTTCTCGGGGGGGGGGGGGGGAGGGTCCTAAGGGGTTGATCTCTCCAAGACCCTGTCTCTTCAGTCAGTGGCCCCAGGGTGAGAGCCTGAGTGAGTTCTTCCTCTCGGCTCCCGCCCTGTCCGGTCCGGGTGGGGGGCAGCACTCTACAGTTTATAATACCCTTTCTGAGCTATCATCTCATATGGTTGAGTTTCCCCTAAATCCACTCTCATCAGGGCAACTGCAACCCTGGACTTAGATATTTTCAGGACCCGCCCAGGATCTGGTGGGAGGAGGTGAGGGAGGGGGAGGGCAATGGGCATCTTGCAGGAGGCAGGGGGGTGGGGGCAGAGTTCAGGGACCCCAGGCTAGCCCTAAGGGTGACGTTACGGAGGCTTTATTCCGTGGCAGCCACCCTCTGCAGGCCTTTCTGTGCACTTCGTGTGCCCACCTTACAGATGAGGAAATTGAGGCACAGAAAGTTTAAGTTGGCTGAGGTAGGATGTGAACCTGGGTCTGTGGCAGTCAGTGGTGGGGAACCGAGAGCTGGCCCTGTGTGTATGTGGACAGGAAAAGCAGGGTGGGGTGCTGGGGTCATCTGGTCTGATCAGTTCAAGAACAACACACCACAAATGCCATGTGCTTGCTGTGTGAATCTCCATGTCGCCCGGATGCTGGCCCCACAGATAGAAGCCTCCATCCGACTCAGGTGGGGCTGTAGGTGGGAAAGGTGCCAGGAGAGGTTATGGGAGCAGGAGTTGAAGTTGGGGAGAACCTGCCTTTGCCCCCAAGGATTTGCCAGGCCTGCCCTCACCTGCTCCCATACCAGGCTGGTTGCTGTAGGGAACGGTGACACCAGGGGCCTGTGTGGATGTGTGACTGGCGGTGAGTGGACCATTCTAGCAAGAAAATCCTGGTGTACGTAGCCTGAATATTCAGGTTTGCCCCAGAGAGGAAACGGGCAGCAATTGTTCAGTTCTTATAGAAAATTGACTCTGCTCTACGAAGGGTTTCACGGTAGGTGTGGGTGGGCTAGAGGTCTCCCTGGAAATCTAGGCCCCTCCAGTGACTTGAAGACTTCATTCCAGGCCCTAGAATCCAGGAAGCGGGGTGGGTGGCTCCCGTCAGCAGTGCTCTTATGGGGGCCACTTCCCTGGGGAGTCTGGGGGGCCATAGCTCCTAACCTGGCTGGGCCTCAGAATCACGTGAGAGCGCTTGTAGATGATGCCCAGGCCATGGCCTGGACCTGTGGGGTCAGAATATCCAGGGCTGGGGCCCGGGCATGTGGGTTTTGGCAAGCATCTCCGGGAAGATGCTAGGTTCTGGGAGGGGTGGAAACAGAGAGAGAGGACCCCGAAGGCCCAACCACGAAGCCTGTTCTTGCTGCCCCACCCCCGGCCCCTCCCCAGGGACCTTCTGAACCAAGGATCCTGAGAAAGCCACCCAGCGGCTCTGCTGTGTTTGTCCACTGCCCTGTTCTCTGGTGTGAGAGATCTGGGTGCTCACCTCCTTGGTCTGTGCCTCAGTTTCCACGGTGCTGGCGTGGGTCAGCCAGCGACCCCTCCCCTCCCCCAGGGAACTTTCTTTCTGTGTTGTTCGCAGCCTCGGGATGTGTCTGGTGTTTGCACAAGGCCTCTGAGGATCTGGGGGGTTTGGATTTGGGGGTGGCAGTGGGGTGGTGAGAAGACATCCCCCCCGCCCTGGGCTGAGGATGCCCCCATTGAAATCTCCCCACGACTCTGAGGCAGGTTGTGTTAGGCCTTTCCTGAGGCTCTAAGGACCCAGGGATTAGCCCTGGCTGCATTCTTGTCAGTTGGTGTGTGTGTGTGTGTGTGTGTGTGTGTGTGAGGGTGTGTGTGTGGGGTCTCATGGGCATTGGAGTCAGGAGTGGGACTTGAACTCTGCTCCCAGGTAGTGTGAATAAGGATAAGAGACGTAGCCTGCTGGGGCAGGGAGTCCCAGGCCTCTTGCCAGCTCCGGACCCTTCCCTGGACACCTTCTCTTCCTCTGTTTCTGGCTTTATCCTCTGGGAGCCTTTCCATCTGCAAAGGTAGCAGGTGCTTACCTTGCTACTATCCATGCTCAAATCCTGGTGTTAGTCAATCCTGATCTTGTAAGCTTGAGCAAATCTCTTAACCTCCCTGTGCCTCAGTTTCTTCCTCTATAGAATGGGGGAGATGGTAGTATCTATCTCATGGGGTCGTTGTAAGGACCGCATAAATGCCTACATGTTAGAAGCACCCAGAACAGTGCCTGGTCCACAGTTAGTACCAGCTCTTCCTACTGTGAGACAGGCAGGGAATGTGCTGGGCTGTTAGTGATGAAGCCCCTCTCCTTGCTTTTACGAGTGCAGTCCCCTCAGCCAGGAGCTCCCCCCTCTCTCCATCATTGGCAACTCACTGCAGTCCTGAATTACATCCAGAATTAAGGGGGCGCCTGGGTGGCTCTGTCGGTTAAGCATCTGCCTTCGGCTCAGGTCCTGATCTCAGGGTCCTGGGATCGAGCCCCGCATTGGGCTCCCTGCTCAGTGGGGAGCCTGCTTCTCCCTCTCCCACTCCCCCTGCTTATGTTCCCTCTCTCTCTCTCTCTCTCAAATAAATAAATAAATTCCTAAAAATAAATCCAGAATTAAGAATCTCTCCTCTGCACTCCAGCCATCTCTGACTATCTGTACAGCTGCTTCCTCGAAACCCACCTCCTTTTACCTCCTCCTCTAGGCTCTGAGCTCTGAGTGGGTGTAGGGTCTGGGGCCCCAGCTCCCTTGCCCTCACCCTTGCCTCTGTCTCCCCCACCACCTAGAAGGTGCTCAGTGGACTGAGCGCTAAACTGCAGGGAACCGCACGTCTCAGTGGAAGAGCATTGCTTGGCCCGATTTGCCGGGGTGGGGGGCCTTGGGGATGACCCCTTGGCAAAGCAAGGGGGGTTGTTGGCCTGGGGAAATCCATCTTCCCACCCTGGCGTTCTAGGAGTCCCATGACTTGTGGCGTGACCTTCAGGGAGGGAGGAAGAGATGAGAATCCATGGGTGAGGCTCTTGTCGGAGGAAGGAAGGTCCCCCTGCTGTCTAAAAAAATTGGCTGAGTTGGCTCTTGAAAAAACAAAAAAAGCATAAACCAACAAAAAAGAAAACCTGCTAGCAAAGAGCTCACCCCAGCGTGAGGGGGGCAGCAGGGATTCTTGGGGGTTGGGTGTGAGGGCGGCCAGAACATGGGTGCATCCGATGGCAAGTGTGTGTGGGGGGGAGAGACTAGCCCGGGGTCCCCCCTGCCTCCTGCTCGCGCCCAGGGGCCTGAGGCCTGCCCCGCCTTCCCTGCGCCTTCCCAGGGGATGAGGACTGGCCTGAGCTGGGGGCCTGCTGATTGCATCCTCCCAGGCCTTCTCCCCAGCAGTGCTGTACTCCCCATCTTAGGGTAGGGGCAAGTAGGTGCAGAGAGGTGAGCTTTATTTCTAGAAGTCACACAGCTCCCAGGGGGGAAGGCCAGACTTGAACCGGGGGACTCCAGGGGCCATGCTTGTGGTGGGGGCAGGGCAGTTGGCCAGAGCTCAGGGCTGCTGGCCTGGACAAGCAGACCGTGGCTCCAGCCCCCTCTGAGGTTGGCTTACAGGACACCCCCCCCTACTCCGTGGGCACCGCTGGATTAGCTCTGGCCTGTGTACTTGCTATAAGCTGACCCTAATAACCAGTCCCCATGCTCCAGGCCCGTGACTCCCCTAAAACCTCACCACTGCCCTGTCTCTCAACAAGCCTTGTTATTCCCCACCCCCAGTCTCAGCTCTGCCCCCCCTTTAGCCTGGTCCTGGCCCATGGCTGCCGTTCCAAACCCCACCAGATTCAGCTGCAAAGCAGACCCGCGGAGCTCCAGGCTACTTCCATACCACCCCGGTCTCAACTCCCAGTCACCTCCCGCCCAGCCTGGTCTTCCTGAGGAATCGCCGCAGGGTCAGGTAGAGGACAAAGTCCCCAGACCTGTCTGAGGTGTCAGAGAGCTGCGGCCCTGGGTGGTCCCCGCGAGGCCCCTCGTGTGCTGTGGTCAGACCCCGACTCAGAGCCTAATTCCCTGGGCACAGAAGAGGACTCCGTGGGGTCAGGGAGCCTCCTGGGTGCCCAGCTTGTTGAAAAATGAGTTAGGCCGCCAGTTAGGAATGAGTCCGTTCTATTTGGTTAGGATGTGGTTGTATTGAAAACATGGGCTTTGCTGTCCATCTTGTGAGTGAGACCGGAAATACGTGGGTGAGAGCCAGGGTCATGACACAAACGCATTTGGGATGGGGCAGGCCGTCCCGACTCACCTCCTCCTGCTCTCCCCGCTTCACCCCTCCCTGCTGGCTGAGAGCAGGGGTCACCCAGGCGTTGGGGTCCAGTGAGATGGGGCTTGTCTCTGCTTCTGGAGACCTCCTGCAGGGAGAAGGGGCTGAGCAGAACTTCGTGGGTGGAGGGAACACAGTGATGTGGAGGTGGTCACAGCCCTGCAGCTGGCCTGGGCCATCCCCTAGAGCCCAGCTGAGCCAACCCACCTAGGTTTTCCCTGGAGCAGCAGGCAAGACCCCCAACCCCTCCCCCTTCCTGACCACTTCACCAAGGAGGCGGGCTGAGGGTAGGATCGTTCTGAACGGGAACGTCCGCACTCTAGTGCTGGACATCTGGGGGACAGCACCTGGCCCCTGGTCCCGACTCGGCCATGCCCGGGCCCCTCTTGGGACCGTCCCAAGGCATGGGATCCCAGACTGACTGAGCTGGACCAGTTCCCGAGCCTGGCTCCATGTCAAAGGCACCTTGGAAGCTTGCTAGAAATTCGAAGTCCTGCTCCACCCTAGTACCTCACTCCGCAAGTCCCCAGGGGTTTCAGGGGACTCTCATGATCTGCCGGGTTTGGAAACCAGCGGTCCAGGGCACCTCACTCATTTTAGAGGTCGGGACACTGAGGCCTGGGTGTCCAGGGTCGCACAGCAGGTGCGGACTCCTTGCTCCCCATCCAGCGCCCTTTCCCATGTCCTGTCCCCAGAGCACCCCCTTGCAGGCCTTGCCCTCATTTCCAAGTAGCTCTGAAGCCTCCCTCTTCCATACATTTGGAGGTGGGGGAGAGGGCAAAGCCTAGGGAGGTTGAAGTTGGGGAACACTGGGAGAGCCCCCTCTAAGAGCAGTCCTTTAGACACACGCTGCCCTGCAGCGCCATCTTCTGGCAAATTCTGGTATTAGCGTCTCCTTCCATCCAGTTTACAGAGGGTCAAGCGCTTGTTTTGTTCTTGAAGGTTGGGATGGAACTGGGGATAAATAAGGATGTTTGTAAAGACTCAGGGCTTGAGGCTCTGGTGGGGCATCCAAAAAAGAAATAGCCTGGTCCGGGGTTAGCTGTTTCGCCTGACGCCCAGCCAGCCAAGGTGGCCCAAGAAGTCACAGTGCTGGACGGAGGTTAGCTTTCCTGGTGGCTGACCCGCGGGCGCCGTGCCCAGGAGACGTGCCGGGTGGCCAGCCCCTCGAGGGCAGGCACTGCGTTTCCTGGGCAAGCTTTTGTGTTTCCCAGAGGGCCTGAAGCATCACAGTCCTCTGCCATCCCGTCTCTCCATCCCCATTTCTTAGATGAAGAAACCGAGGCACAGACATAAAAAGTACCTTGCTCGAAGCTGCACAGGAGGGTATCAAAATAACACCCGCAGAGCGTGCGTTCTCTGCTAGCCTTCCCGCTGAGGGCTTTCGTGCCGTCTTCCTGACGCCCATCCCACGCGCATATGTTAGCAGCCCCACTGTCGGGGTCCAGAAAGGAGAAGTAACTTGTCCAAGGTTGTGCTTCGCTGGCAAGAGGTGGAGCTAGCATTCGAACCCAGGCAGTCGGGGGTCAGAGCCCATATTTGTCGCACCACCGTCCCCTCTGTCCACGGCCCGCTGGGCCCCGCTGGCCTCACCTGCAGTCTGTGCTCAGTCCTAGGGCTCTGGAGGCCACGGGCACAATGCTTCGGGTCCTGGTTGGGGCCGTCCTCCCCGCAATGCTGCTGGCCGCCCCGCCGCCCATCAACAAGCTGGCCCTGTTCCCGGACAAGAGCGCCTGGTGTGAGGCCAAGAACATCACCCAGATCGTGGGCCACAGCGGCTGTGAGGCCAAGTCCATCCAGAACAGGTGCGATGCAGGGGCATGGGGGGAGGGGCTGGGGCCGGGGCCGGGGGGGCAGGAGGGAGGCAGAGGACGGGGCGGCCCATCCCCGCCGCCGCGGTGTCACGGGCACAGTGACCTCTCCTCCCGCAGGGCGTGCCTAGGACAGTGCTTCAGCTACAGCGTTCCCAACACCTTCCCGCAGTCCACCGAGTCCCTGGTTCACTGTGACTCCTGCATGCCGGCGCAGTCCATGTGGGAGATCGTGAGTACCGCCGCCGCCCCTGCCTGCCCGGCCTCCACCCACCGTGTGCCACGGCCGAGCCTTGTGCTGGGGATCCAGACGTGGCCCTTGCCGCGGGATGGCTTATGCGTCTGACGCCAGTGTGCACGGGACAAGAGAGCTTTCTTACGTCAGTCACACGATGAAATCCTTTCAGTGGTTTCCTGTTGTTTTCAGATGAGACCCAAATCCTTGCTGGGTCCCACAGTGCCCAGCATGGCCTGGCTTCCCAGGCTCTTGAGTTTGTCTCGCCTCTCTCATCCTTTTTACTTGCTTGACACTTGACATCAACGTGCCTTCTTTCAATCTCTTACACCTGCTCTGCTTGCTACTACCACGGGGCCTTTGCACATGCTCTTTTCCCTGTTTGGAATAACTTTCTTCTCCTCACCCAGTTAATGTCTACATTCTTCTGCTCTTGGCTCAGCACTATTCTCAGTGCCCTTTCCCATCCCCCTGAGCACCGTGTGCCTCACAGTTTTCCATCTGCATTTGGGTGATTGTGACAAGTCTTTTCCCCCCTGCTAGGCTCTGCATTCTTTGAGGGACCATGCCTATCCTTGTGTCCCCGGCACTGGCAGGGAGTAGGTGCTCTGTGGAAAAGGGAGGAAGGATGGGAAAACGGAAGAGCTGTTGGAAAAGTGTTAATTAGGAGAAGAGCGAGACCCTGCAAGGTCCAGTAGGGCAGACCTAGGCTGGGCTGCGGCTTTGGGATGGGGCTCTTTGAGGAAGTGATGTCTGAGCGCAGACCCAAAGGTTAAGTGGAAGTTAAGTGGGCCAGTTTGGGGTAGGTGGTCCAGGGTGGGTTAGGTGAGGACCTTCCAGGCACAGGGAACAGCATGTGCAAAGTCTCGGGCAGATCAGGCAGCTCAGAGTTGGTGGGAGTGGCACAAGGTCAGGGGTGGAGAGGCAGCCTGAAAGTCCTGGGGGGGCCTTGGTAAGGAGTCTGGACTTTTCTTCAAGTGCAGTGGGGAGCACTGAGGGGGATTGTGGGCAGGGCAAGCCCCGTTGGATTTCTCCCCTCAGGCTGCTGTGAGGGAATGGGTAGGGAGGTGGCAGGACTGGCTGAGAGGAGACAAGTCGGGCGGCTCCTGAAGGGGCTCGCCCTCCTCCCTGTGGAGGGGCCCACAGAGCTAACTGGGGTACCCCCCCAGGTGGGCTCAGGCATTTTGGGGTCTCTGGGATTGTTGGTCCTGTGAGGAGTGTTGTTGCCCTTGGGGCCTCTGGAAACATGTCTTCCCTTCTCTCCTGTCCTCTGCAGGTGACCTTGGAGTGCCCCGGCCACGAGGAGGTGCCCCGGGTGGACAAGCTGGTGGAGAAGATTCTGCACTGTAGCTGCCAGGCATGCGGCAAGGAGCCGAGCCACGGGCTGAGCGTCTACGTGCAGGGCGAGGACACGCCGGGCTCCCAGCCGGGCACCCATCCCCACCCCCACCCTGGCGGGCAGACCCCCGAGCCCGAGGATCCCCCCGGGGCCCCCCACGTGGACGAAGAGGGGGCTGAGGACTGAGGCCCCAACTCTTCCTCCCCTCTCGTCCCCTGTGGAATGTTGGGTCTCACCCTTGGGGGAACGGTGGGGAGAAAGGCTGGAGCCCCCCTTTGGCACTGGATGGACTTGGATTCAGACTTGGACTGGGAATGCTTTCCGGTTGCCATGGATATCTGAAGGGAGGGGTTGGGGCCAAGCTGCACAATTTAATATATTCAAGAGAGAGGGGAGGTAGCAGAGGTCTTCAGGGTTCTTTTTCAGATGGGGGGGGTGGTTCTCTTCCTTTCTGCCTCCTAGAGATGTGCCTTCGGGAGGGGGAGGAGGTTGGCTAAGCTGCTGAGGTGGGTGTGAGGTCCTCACCGCCCCTGGTGGGGCAGGGCCCCTGGGGTGCAGATGGTGGAGCGGGGGCCCTGAGCTGAGGGTGGGCTCCTTGCCAGCAGCAGCCTTGAGAGAGGGGCTGGGCCCAGGCTATAGGAAGACCCCTGGCAGAAGCTCTAGCCCCGTAGGCTTCCCCAAAGGCCTCCCATCCCCAGGACAGCTTCTCCCCAGTGGCACCGAAATGGCCCGCCCTCCCTCAGTGGCGTGCTTGGGAGTCAGGTCTGGGCAGGACCCTGCTGACTCATGGCCCTGGAGCTGGGAGCCAGGCTCTTGGGGCCTCTCTGGCTTCCTTGGCTTTCCAGGCGGTGGAGGAAGGCAAGGGAGGAGACTACCTGGGCCAGGGGGAGGGGAGGGCTCCCGGACCATCACCGGAGTATCCCTCTCCCCCTCCCTCCAAGATGGTAGTGCCTCCCACCGCCCCCCAAGTTTTGGGCCCCTCGGAAAGCTGATGGAGCCAGCCTTCCCCTCCTGGGGAGCTCTTTCCAAATGTCTGACGGCGGGAAGGCTCCAAGGAGGGACCTGGGTGGGATGGACTCTGGCTGAGCCTCAAGAAACCAAGAAGAGGAGGGGGGAGGGCTCCTGGCGGCCAGTGTCCCCACAGCTCTCCAGCACCCCGTCCCACCCATCACCTCCCTCCCAGCTGCACTTTAACCCAGAGGGGGAGTGGGGTCCCGGGGACAGGGCGGGCGGGCGGGCACCCACACCTGCCCGTATCTGCTCTTCTGTCCCCAGGGCGGCTGTCCGCTCCCCTGGCCTCCTGCCTGGGGCGCCCTGGCCCCCCCTCCCCATGGCTGTCCCGACAAGAGCTTCCGGAGCTTGTAACCAGTAGATTGTTTCCCTGAGTTTTCTCATGAATAAATTCGTTCAATGCTTGTGTTCTCTTCCTCAGTGGTGGCTCTGCCGACCCAGGGTCCCCCAGGGGGCCCTCCGCGAGGCCTGGGGGAGGGGATCAGGCTGCCCGGTGAGCCCCGCGAGCAGACCCTCTGTGCGGCCCAGTGGCCGCTGCCTCCCTGGCTCCCACCTCTTTCCTTGGGCGCCCATTTCCAGCCTTGTGTGTACCTTGGGTGGGCCTCCAGACCAGGCACGTCTGATCCTGACCCTTGGGGGCCTCTTGGGCTTGCCTCATGCCATCTCTTCCCCCTCACAGTGACCCAGCATCAGCCCTTCCCTGGACCCCAGTCTAGCCCGGCCCAGAAGGGGAAAGAGACAAAACCAGTGGTTATAAAGGAATATATGAGGTGGGGTGCTATGCTAAGTACTTTACATAAAGTCGCTCACTGAATCCTCAGCACCACCCTGTGATGCAGATGTTGCCCGCACTGTACGGATGAGGCGTGGGAAGAGGGGAGGGATTACGTCATCTGTCCAGGGCCGGGCGGTTGGGAGATGGCAGCCAAGGGCTTGAGCCCAGGCCTGATCACTGCTGTCAGTATAACCTTAGCGCTTGTCATTTGTCCGTCTCCTGCCATGTGCCACGTGGGTGCCTGACCACCTCACAGTGACCCTGTGGGCTTGGGATCATTACCCCCATGCCATTCGGTCCCCCCAAAATCTCCATCATTGAGACGCAGCAGGGCTGGTGGGCTGGGTGAGGGCCCGGACCCTTTCTTCCTCACCCACATTGCTGTAAACGCCACATACCAGGCAATTTGCATATATTAGTTCTGATCCATGGAAAATCCTCCTTTTGCAACTGAGCGCGTTTATGCCCTGGGAGTGCTGTGCACGGGCGGGGAAGCCGCGGCGCCCGGAGTCTAGTCTCGCGCCCTCTAGCGACGACGGTGGTGTATCACACGCGTGATTTCCTCGGCGGACACGGCCTTCCCTGCATGGCCGCTCTGCGCTGTTGTGCGGGTTGTGTACTTCCCAGCTCCAGAATGGCGCTTCTTGCAGTTGTGCGGACGTAACCAGCCACGGGGGCCCTGCGTCCCTGACGTGGAGTTGGATTGGAGAGAAGTATACCCACTGCGTGCAGACTTCAGTGACCCCTAGTCTGGTAGGGACAAGCCCTGGTCATGTTAATAGCCATTCTATACGGCTGGCGGTGAGGCCTGACCCAAGGGCGCAGAGAAGATGCTGCGGGGCTTCCAAGGACTCAGAGACCAGGTCCAAATGCAGGACTTCCTGGGGCCGTGTCCCCGGTGCTGGACCTCTGCGAACCCAGCACCGTGTTGGCAGGATGAATCTTGGTCAGGAGCCGCCTCCAACTTGTGTATGGAACCAGGCAGGGTAGACATATAAAGAAATTAAGAGGCTCGTTGAAAAGAAAGCAGGAAGGTGGGTTGGCGTGGCTGGTGGCAGGTCTGGAATGCTAGCCAGAGTTCAGACTTCATTCTCTTTGCAGTAAGAGCCCCGGAGGGCTCTGCACAGAGCTGGGTTTCCGAGAGAGTGGAGACGGGACGGCGGTGACTGCAATGGTCCGGGCAGAAGACAGAGACGGGAGACCATAGAGGCCAGAATTGGGTGTGGGCAAAGGGGAGGTGGAACCAGGCAGGAGAGGCGCCGCTGATTGGATTCGGGAGCAGCAAATGGGAGGAGCCAGATTTGAGTGCTGACATCACTTGTTATGCCAGCCTGCAAATGGGCAAATGGGCGTGAGATGGGGAGTAGTGACTTCGATTTTCCTTGTCAACCTCAAGCTGAACCACCCAGAGGGCCCAGAAAAAACATTTCAGGTCCTCCTCTGCCCTTCGCTCTCCCCCCGGCCCACAGCAATGGTGGAAAGATCTTAAAATCTTTATAAGGGGTTAACACTGACAGCACAGGCCCCTCTTGGCAAAGGGTGGGTAAGTAATTAGCACCAGCTACCCCGCCTTATTTGCCTACATGGAGCCTACAACTCCCAGCTCGTTTTCTTCCCCTGCTCCAAGCCTCTGGGGATATCCAGTCAGCCTGGGTTTAAATTCTGGCTGCGCCACTTCCTAGCTGTGTAATCTTGAGGAGGTCAGTTAAACTCCCTGAGGCTCAGTTTGCCCATCTGCAAAATGGGGACTAATGATCACACCTCTCTTACTCCCAGGGTCATGGTGAGCTTTATATAAATTAATGTACGAGTGGAGCTTGGAACAGTGCCCGGCATGTAGTAAGGACACGTGGCTGACTCAGTCCACAGAGTATGTGACTCTTGATCTCAGGGTCCTGAGTTCAAGCTCCATGCTGGGTGTAGAGCTTACATTGCAGAACAAAACACACACACACACACACAAGAAAAATGCTGGCTGTCACTATAATTGTTGAGAATGAAAGACTGGGTCACAACTGCTGGTGGCTGGGCTGATAGTTTTGTTCATTCATTCATTGAACAGATGTTTATTGAGAGCCTGTTATGTGCTGAGGATACAGCAGTGAACAAAACAGACAAATCCCCGGCCTCATGGAGTTTATCCGGTTAATCAGCGCCTTCCGTGAGAGCAGCTTTGAGCAGGCTTCACAGCCTCCCTGGATCTCGGTTACTCCATCCCCATAATGCGGAGCTCTGGCGGGCATGGAGGTCTGGGGCAGGGGACTTCAGAAGAGTCAGCTGTTCCAGCGTGGCACCGGCCTTCTCCTCCAGAGAGGGAGCTCCCGTGGCTAGAAGTAATTGAGCAAAGGCTGAGCATCCGTGAAGGTCCCTCTCTACCCTGAAAGGTTAAGGAAGTCTGGGGCTTTATTATTCCATGACGGGTATGATAAACTTAGGAGCATGAGCACACACATGGAACTTTTGAAAAAGTTCTTGAATTCAAGATAATAGTGTGGCCACAAGGTGGCACCACTACCCAGGCCCAATCTTGGAAAAAATTAAAAAAAAAATTATAGTTAAGGGGTGCCTGGGTGGCGCACTGGGTTAAGCATCTGACTCTTGGTTTCAGCTCAGGTGGTGGTCTCAGGGTCATGAGATCGAGCCCCTGTTGGGCTTCATGCTCAGCGTGGAGTCTGCTTAAGACTCTCTCCCTCTCTCTCTCTGCCCCTCCCTCCCGAGCCTGCGTGTGTGCGTGTGTGTGCGCGTGTGCACGCGCTCTCTCTCTCTCTCTCTCTCTCAGATAAATAAATAAATAAATCTTTAAAAAAAATTATAGTTAAGGGGTGCCTGGGTGGCTCAGTCGTTAAGTGTCTGCCTTAGGCTCAGGTCATGATTCCAGGGTCCTGGGATCGAGCCCCACATCAGGCTCCCTGCCCTGCGGACAGCCTGCTTCTCCCTCGCCCACTCCCCCTGCTTGTGTTCCCTCTCTCTCTGTGTCTTTGTCAAATAAATAAATAAATAAAACCTTTAAAAAATTATAGTTAAGTACAGATCACAATATAACAAATGTCTCTGAACCTGTCACCCAGGATGAACAAATATTAACAAATTTGTCATGTTTTCTTTAGGCCTTTAAAAAAAATAATAAAGGCCCCGAATCCACAGAGCTGGTAAGCAACAGCAATGGGATCCCAAGTCTGGTCTTTATGTTTTCAGCCTAGTGCCTCATATCCTGTCCTCTGGGACATGGCAGAAGTTGTTATAGGGGTGTCATATGGGAGGGAGGACAGACCTCCTTTTCCTGCTACATAGACCCGTCTCTGGGCACGACTGGGACTCTGGGCCCCAAATAGTGGCTTGGGGGTGGGTGGGGTGCTGCAGGGTCTTGAGGTTTTTCTGTCTTGGGTGTTGGGCAGTTCCGAGTTTCAGTTCCACTTGGTCTCTTGCTGCTGGTGACCTTGGATGAGGCCCTTGGCCTCTCTCAGCCTCAGTTTAACACCTACCTATCAGCACTATTGTAGTGGTAGGAATAAGAGAATATAAAGCCCCTGGAACATAGCAGGAATCTTATATGTGTGGGGGGGTATGACTTTTCTGTTTCTGCAGAGGGAAAAAGACCCCCTTTGCTCTCAGATTCCCTTTATGTTGCTCTTCATTTTCTTTTTTTTTTTTTTAAAGATTTTATTTATTTATTTGAGAGAGAGAGAATGAGAGAGAGCGAGCACATGAGAGGGGGGAGGGTCAGAGGGAGAAGCAGACTCCCCGCTGAGCAGGGACCCTGATGCGGGACTCGATCCCGGGACTCCAGGATCATGACCTGAGCCGAAGGCAGTCGCTTAACCAACTGAGTCACCCAGGCGCCCCCCCCTTTTTTTTTCTAAAGCAGTGATCCCTTTACGACGACTTTAAGAGTCTATTATGCTTATTGTTTATTGTCTGTCTCCTTCCACTAGAACATAAACTCCATGAAGCTGGATCTTTGTTGTGGTTAGTGTAGTGTCCTAATTGGCCAGAACAGTGCCTAACATCTAGTAGGTGCTCCATAAATGTTTATTGAATGAATGAGTGGAATCCGCAGTACTGATCTGTGAAGCATCTGGTAGAGACTCTTCTTAGCTGGGGGGGGAGAGAGCACCTTCCGAGGGTGCTATCTGCAGTGCCTCTACCGCATCTGGCCTTGGGATTCCCAAATCTGTTCGCACTCTGTTAGACTGGGAGTCCCAGCACATCAGGCACTTCGTGCCTGCTGCTGTCGGGGAGTGTGGTAGGTTTCTGCTCAAAGGACCCCGAGGAGAAGGTAACCTGCTGTTTGAAGGTTTGAAGGAAGCATTATATGGGTTATTATATATTATATATACTATGATATACAGGTACATATGTGCATATATATGTGTGTGACATCTGGGCGTCAAGCGAGCTCCCCAGTAGCTCCCAATGGGCTCCCGCTGCTAGCGCGGCGACCCCCGCTGCGGGTGGGCAGCCCCCCAACTGGGGAGCAGTCCTAGATGAAGGCGGCCACAGCCCCTCCTCTGAGTTCCTCCTGCGCCGCAGCCATGTCAGGTGGGAGAGGGGTGTGCGGGGACGGGGCGGGGGGGGAGGGGGGAGGCCGCGACCCGAGGTGCGGAGGACCCCGCGCGCTGCGGGGCGGGG